CAATGCTGTGTCAGCCACTGTAAGGATTATATGGATGTCTCTGATGAATCACAGCATCATAGAATGGTTTGGGTTGGAAGGGCCCTTAACCATCATCTAGTTCCACCCCCAGCCACAGGCAGGGACACCTTCCATGAGACCAGGTTGCTCCAAGCCCCATCCAACCTGGCCTTGAATACTGCCAGGGATGGAGCATCCACAGATTCTCTGGGCAATCTGTGCCAGTGCCTTACCACTTTCATAGTAAAGAATTATTTCCTCATAGCTGAATCTGCCCTTTTCCAGTTTAAAGCCACTTCCCCTTGTCCTATCCTTACCTGCCTTTGTTAAAAGCCCCCCCTCCAGCTTTCCTGTAGGCCCCTTTAGGTACTGGAAGCTGCTCAAAGGTCCTCCGGAGCCTTCTCTTCTCCAGGCTTAAGAAGCCCAGCTCTCTCAGGCTGTCTGCATAAGAGAGGTGCTCCAGCCCTTTGATCATCTTGGTGGACTTCCTCAGGACTGACTCCAACAGGTCCAAAACTGATAGAAACATTGTATCCAAATCTTCCACTGACTCTACTGCTTTGAAAAGTGTACTAGAAACAAAAACTATGCAAATCATGCTCAGGAGCATGTAAATTTCACAAAATCTTATAGACAGATTATGTTAGCCCTTATCATAAGAATAGGGGCATTAAAATACCTATGTTGGGTACTACATGCCTTTTCAAGTTGGTGTGCCATCTAACAAACCAACCAACTTGACCTTTAAGGACAATAAATTTTGAAACCTCACTGTCTGAAAACAAGGCACTGTCAAAGCCTGTAACTCTGTCAGTGCAACATCTCACTGCATTTTTGGTGCAGTTTAAGAGCCTCTGCATTGAAAAGACCACACGAACTTGTTAATGTCACAAGATGTGAAAACCAGAAACTTTCTCTCCTGTATTTCCCTGCAGAATAACTTCCCGTTTAATCCACTTGTGTGCTCTATAGAACCTATATATATATACAGCATGTCTCCCATGCTAATTCTGTTAAGAATCAATATTGGATGTTTGTTCCTTTGCTTTAGGCCCTTCTTATGAGAATACCTGACTTATCTGTAATATTACGCATGCCCTGCAAGTGATCAGTTAACTATTACTATATTGGGCAATACTGCAATTCACTTTGAATAGTACCTTCTGTTGCAATGAACCTCAGTGAATCACTGTGATTATTCATACAGGAATGTGCAAAAGCAGAAGTATAAAAATCTGTTCTGTGTTCTCCTGATCATGCAGGGTCAGATTACATGCAGTTCTAATGTTTCAGCCTTGCTTTGGGAAAACCACCTAAACTGACCTTTAGGACGCTGGTTTTTTGGGAATATTCACTGCAAGTAAAAATCACATTTGACTCTCTGTTAAAGCCTGGGTTTTTTTATGGGTTTTTTGTGGATTGCACCTCCAGACAGAGCAGGTACCCATGCTCACAAAAGCATTTCTGCTAGCTATGATAGTCAAATGAGTCTCTACTTGTCCAGCATGTGTGAAGCTTACACGTGCAGTCCCCTTGTGCACATGATTTTTCTCAATGGCATGGTAATTCTGTAATTCGGAGCACTTCTGAAAGGTTTACTTTCCATTTACGTTTTGTTTTGCTTGGATAGGCTTCCAAATGTTTAATTGTCTTTTTAAAGGAAATTATGATTACAATTCCTCTACTGAAAATAATTAAGTGATAGCAATTTAGTAATTTTCAGTCTGGGAAATACCATTGCCAATTAAGATTTGTGTTTTCTTTACTAATATAAATCAGCAGAGTAAAGAGACTGAAATAAGTGGTGACAAGTTCCCCAAATGAGTTGTTTTACTAGCCTGTAATCCTAGTACTAGCTAATATTTGTAAATAATGTTCAGTACGAAGCAGAAAAAGTTCTTGATTCTAGTTCATTTTCTACAGCTATTGAAAGTAATGGCTGATAAAAAACTACACTGCAAAAATATTTGTGTTTTTTATTTCAGCATCTCAAGAATTAGATCAGGAGGAGGGGAAGGCAGTGAAGATGATCCAGCAATTAGAACTGTTCTCTCTGCCACAAGTGGCTTCATGCAAAGTGGGACTTAGGTTGCGAGGGCAGTTGAGGAGAACTGTAAGACACATTAAAAATGGTGCAAAGAAGGTGAAGTAGAACAACTATTGCAAATTATAAGATTATTAACCAGTGGCCTAAACCCCAAAAAAACCAAAGCATTTTCTTCTATGACACAAGACTCTACCTAAATAAATCCTATATAGCTAATGTTTTATAATATAACTTGGAATTAGCCAAATTCATGGGTCCATCAAGAGCTATTAAATATATTGGCTGAATTAAGGACTTCCAGGTAAGGATGCTGTAAACCATTTCTGTCTAAAAACTACAAGGATATGCCATGGAAACAACTACTCTGTAGTGTCTTGTTTCCAGTACCCTTTTCCCAGGCATCCATTACGAGTCATTGTGGAGACACGATTCTGAGTTAGATAGACTGTTGGTCTAACTAAACGGAACAGGGTAAAATTCTGCTTTCATGCACCCTATGCCATATCTAGTCCTGCACACTGAAAGTACATTCTTCTCCTAAGAAGGACATAAATTGTTCAAAACTGACTTTGTCACTTTATATTTTAATACAGTTTCTTCTGCTGCTTTGTCTTGTTCATTAAGACGGACATATTGTTCAAAGATCTGACCCAAGTCCTTCTGAAGGAACTTTTTTTTTTAATTAAGTTCATTTAATTCCTTTGTTGAGATCTATTTATGATATCTAGAGTGTTAAATTTCCTTCTTGGGATCTGATATATTGCATCCAAATCAGCCATTACATTCTCATAAGTAGAGTGTATACGAGTAGAAACTAAATACAAATTTTAAAGTGCAACTTAGCAGGTCTGTAAAATAGAGGGTGTTTTCTCTTATGAAAATATTACAGTGCTGCTGGGAAGTAGATACATAATTTTGTTTTGCCTATAAAAGTGCTATTTATGTAATCAAAATATTCAGAGCAAGAAAATAAATATGCAATATGTGATATTTGCAAGATACATAGATTTTTATTACACATGATTACTACAACTCTAATGCTAAAAAAGGAACAATAAAAAAAGGGGGGGAGGAGAAATCATTGTTGTAATAGTTTCAGAGAAGACACAAGATCATCACGTGAACTTTTACAATAGGAAGTTACTTCGGAGCTAAAAACACTTAAGTCCTGCAATATTTCTAAGTGTAAAGTAACAAACTTCTCGGCTTCTGACAATGTCAACCCATTTTTCTTTATATGCCTCAGAAACCACAGTGTTAAGTGCCCCATCCTGTGGCGAAGAGAAGCTTGGCACTCAACTGCAGTTTTCTTCTATTTGCCTGCCTCTGTCAAAATGTTTAGAATCAAAACATTAAGAAGTCAGATTTAGCTGTGTTGCCACATTAAGATGCAGACTGAACAGCCTCATAAAAAATAAAGAAGAAATACAAGCATACAGGGAGGTTGTGAAGCTACACTCAGATGGTTTAAATTCACAGTTGAGATTTCGTATGCTTTCCACTGTCAAAGAAGACTGAAGGAAAAAAAAAAGATATAAAATCTGTACATCTCTAGATGTTTTGCCATCCCTAGCACCAGCTACTACCACTCACTGTAAGACGGCAGTTGGCAGGAACAGCAAACCAAGCTGAGCTTTATTATGCTAGCTTTCAAAGGTGAATTTCCCCTCTCCAGAGCTTTTCGATCACTTTTGATCAGGCGAGACAGAAGAGGCTGAGAATCTGTGTCTTCCCTGTTGTCTTAGTTGTTCTCCATGTTCACAAATATAGCTTTTAAAACATTCATTGTATATGTCTGTCATTTTTATGTTACTAAAAGTGTGTTGATAGTGAAGCACACTGAAAATTTAACTAGTTGCCACTACTTCCCAGTCCTGTGGGATTTTGTATCACCAAATAAAGACAATGATAACTATTAAACAAAGATTCCACCATCTCACTGCATTTTAGGACATTTCTCAAGGGTCTTGCTCACTTTGGTTTTTCTTTCTTCCCTTTTTTTGATAGACTGGTTTCAAGCTCCCTCTAGTTCTGCAGTTTGTGCTCTCGGTTTTCTCTGTTCCTCTGTTCCTGTTTATTTGATCTTACCTCACTGCTTTGAAAAAGGCTGTATAAATGCTAGATAATGGCTTATCTAGCCGAAGAAAGCTCTCTTGGTTCAGAGCTATTCCATCCATTCTCTTATTAAACATGATCAATGTAGATGGCACAGCAGGGGCTGCTCCACAGGTGTCAAGGCAGAATGACCCAGCTGCAGTGGATGACTCTTGCTTCTGAGAAAACAAGCAAAATTATAGAATCATAGAACAGTTTGGGCTGCAAGGGACCTTAAAACTCATCTAGTGCAAACTCCCCTGCTGCGGGCAGAGACACCTTCCACCAGACCAGGTTGCTCAGGGCCCCATCCAACCTGGCCTTGGATGCTTCCAGGGTTGGGACATCCACAACTTCTCTGGGCAACCTGTTTCAGTGCCTCACAACTCTCACAGGGAACAACTTCTTAATATCTAATCTAAATCTACCTTATTTCAGTTTAAAGCCGCCCCCCCTTGCCCTATCACTGCTTGATATTATAAAAAGTCCCTTGCGTACGCTTGCTCTTATTAAAAGGCCGGATCCACTACACTTTTACGCAGCCCAGTGGCGGCTTACCGCCGTTGTGAGCAGCAGTGCCTCCCGGTTCCCACTGGTCCGAAGGGCCCCACCACCGACCGGCGGAGCCCTTTGCTGCCACCCCTCCGGAGGCGAGCTCAGCACCGGTAAGCGTTTTCAAGGAAGACATGAAGTAAAGCTCCGTTCCGCCTCCTGCCCCCGTTCCCGACAGGGCAGCAGCCGTTACCAGCTACACGGCAGTGCGAGCCGCCACCTCGGACCTCCACGCGGCGAAACGTTGAAGCTCGATGTCTCAGCCGACAGAGGGCATGGAGAAGTGAGACGTCCCTTCACACCGCCTGCCGGTACCAGGCCGCAGGGCAGGGACGCCCTCCCAGCCGCTCGCAGGGGGACGGCAGCCGGCAGGGGTGGCGAGCGGCTGGCCGAGCGGCTCGATGGGGCCGGTTTGCGGGCGGGGCGGGGCCGCAGCTCGCTCGTGGCCTCGGAGATGGATTCTCGGCCGCTCGCGCAAGCCACCATCTTAGAGGGCAGGCAATCTAGTCGGGGAGGGAAGGAAAGCAAAGCGAATCGAAGCGGGTGGTGCCGTCGGAGGACGCAGCTCTGGGCCCCTTCGCGGCCTCAGGTACCTCCGCTGTCGCTGGGACGGGGCTGCGGTGAGCCCCAAGCGGCTGTGTGCGGCAGGAGGCGGGCCGAGGTTCCGCGGCTGCTGCTGTCTCACCCGTGCCGTCCCTGTCAGCTGTCGCCGGGGGTGCCGCGGGCAAGAGGCCTCGATCTCCCCGGCCCACGGGGCTGATGGGGGCGAAACCGGGCCCTGCCTCGCCTTGGAAGGGGAACTTTGCCCCCTCACGTCTCTCACGGACGGCCCGGGCCGGGGTGTGCCGCGGCCGTGCGCCCGCGTGTGTGACCCTTCTCCCGCCGGCTGTTCCCGGCTTCCAGCGGGGGTCGAAGGCAGTGTGTGTCGCCCTCTCGCCTCCGGCTGCCAGACCTCGGCCTCGTCCCACTCTCGTCTGTGTCAGCAGCGTTAGAGAAGCACTTTTCTCGCCTCAGGCGAGGGTGTCCGCCGCGCCCGGGGAAGGAGGACATGTGCGTGGAGAGATCCCGCGTCCCCGGGAGCGGGCAGGTGACGAGGTCTCAGTCATGCCTCGCCTGAGGTGCGAGGAGGTTCGGGCTTCCCTTGCTTCCGCTGTGTCTCTTCCCCCCTGCGGTCTCCTGTGTTTGTGTTACGTGCGAGCGCAGGACGGATACTCATTCTTCCTCCTCTGAGATTTCCAGAGCTTGCGCCGTATTTCTTTCTCCTCAGGCATACACTTTTTTCTTGAGTGTGTTAAGGAGATTTACTCATTTCCTTCTTTGTTCCTGCTACTTTTCTGCCAAAGGTATCTGTCGGCAGGAAGGAAGGAACGAAGAAGACCCATTCACTCTGAAAGCACTTACCTGAATGCGGTGCATTTGCCTGTTTCTAACATGCCTGGAAGGCTCAGCTTTCAGCTGCAAGTGTAGTTTTGAAATCTGCTGTGCTTGCTCTTATCGGAGATCTGTGACTGTTTATCCTGTGACAAAGCATGATATATTTAGATCTTGCGCTACACAGGATTAGATGGGTAGCATGTGAAATGGATGTCAACTTGTAAGTCTTAGCTAATATTAACTGTATAGCTACAGCTGGTTAGGAGATTGTTCTGTGCATGGTAACACTTGAGGCCTCAGCTTGACATTAAGCTTTCTGTTTCAATAACATTCTGATGTTATTGAAAGAGGATAAGAAGGAAGGCACTGTCAGTTCCACTTGCAAGTGGCCACTTTGCTAACCTGAACTAGTGTGTTTTTAACACAATGTGGTCATAGATGCTCATGTCCAACAGGGTTCTAGTCATGCTGGGATGCTGTAGGAATGAATCTGAGAAGTATATGGTTAGATAGCGTGGTAGGTGGTAAAGACTCCCAAGCATGCAATAGGTTAATATTTTGCATTACTATTCTTTTTATAAAAAAATTTACTTGTAACTTTGATCAATTTTGAATTAAGTGCTGAACATGAAACTTTTTCAAGTGTTCCTTGACCCGCTGTGCCAGAAGAGTTTGGTAGTATGACCTACATTGTGCACTGCCAGATTGTTAAAACATCTTGTTACTTAAGCTGAATCCTTTCATTTTGATACCGAATTTTACGTGGGTTTTGTGCAAACTTAAGTCTTGTATAACTTTCTGTTTAGCTAGGAATGGTGACCTCTACTTGTGGTACTCAGTACTGGCATGAAAAACTTGGTTTCAGTTTCTCTTTTTGGGTCAATTGCTTCACTATATTCTGCAGATTCTACAGGAAACTTTACTTGAGTAAAGATTAGAGGGCTGTAGTGAATGCCATGTTGCATAGGGTTTACCTTTCTGTCTTTTCTGAAGATTATTGCTTTTGCTGTTGTTGTTTGATGCCCCTCAAAACTTGGATGAAGGTCAGTTGTTAAAATTATGTTGCATATTGTATCTTTCCAGATTTAGGAGATGGGTGTAGAATGCCAGTTTACTTTCAGCTCTGTTCCTGTTAGACTCAAAGCAATGTCTCTTTATCTTATCTCAAAAGTAATCAAATATAAAATGAAAATCACTTGATGACCATACATGTTAAGTGGGGTGGGAGGGGTGGGGATGTATTGGGGAACTTGTATTGTTGGAGCAGCTGGTATAACTGGAAAAACTTAAACCATTTCTTCTGCATGCAGACCTTATCTTGGTATGTTGTCTTTCAAATTGTATATGACATAATCTTGAGTAAACACGAGGAAGAATTTCAGGTTGAATTGCACCATGGTCTGTGACTGAGCTGCTATTCTGAGTTTCTTGTTACTTATGTTACCGTTTACTTTTTTTTTCTTTTTGTGGCGTATGTGTGTTCTTCATAGAACAGCTATAAGTAATACTCCTTTTTTGCAATGATTTGGCAGTTGTTTTACTTATAATGTTATTTTCCCTAATTGTTGATACAGTAAAAGCTATTTCATATTTTGTGAACTTACTGTGATTTTTTTTTTTTTTTTTTCTCTTTTGGGATGGAACTTTGAATATGAAAAAAGTGATAATCTGCACAAAGAAACATTTAGTGCTGTAGAAATAAGTTTGCATGTTAAGTATCAATGGTGGTGTTACACATCCTGTCCTAGGAAGTCACTTACTGGATGTTTAGAACAGTAGAGTTGGACAGCCTGTTGGCTTCAGGGTTATCAGTTAAGTGAACATATATTGTAGATTACACAGTAAGACCATTTTAAATTTTTGTATGTGTATCATAAGTTAAAATGGTGACTCAGCTTAAGTGATCTAAGATATGGTAATATTTTAAAAACAATACAGTACAGTGTTATGATAAGGGAAGTTAAATTTTTTTTTTTTTCTTTTTGCAGAAGGTCTTGATGTAACTGGCTGAAAAATGGTTCTGCAAGATGACAGCATCAACTTTAACGCTGTTAAAATGGTAAATAGAATATTTAAAAATACCTCCATGCCATTTGCTGAAAAAAAAAATATTAAGAAATGTTCTTAAAATGAATATTCCTTCAAATGACAAATTTTAAAGTTGTGTTTTAAAGTTGTACCATGTGGAAAGCATATTTATTTCCAGATAATGGAAATGAAAGGCAGGCATGCTGAATTTTCTACTGTATTGAATAGAGTAGAATATTGTAGTTACTTTTAAACTTTTCTATTTCAGCTTATATGTCTTCTGGTGGCATAAATTTATTGTAACTCTGTGAACTTGATGAATTAAATGTTTTGTAAAGGTAAAGCCACGTTCTTAGAGAGAAGTGTCTTGTTTCAGGTAATTTTTTATCCTTATCCTGAAGTGGGTTAATTCTTGGTAATAAGTATTGAACTGGGTTCTGTGTTACCAACTCCAGTTAGGACTACAGCCCACAGCAGATCTTGCATGCTGATAGAGGGTAATATGTATGTATTGCATAATAACTGAATTTAGGTACAAGTTCTGTACCTTGTTATGTGAGTATAGGTAATACAGATTAAGTAGGGGTCACAAGTAAGCGACTGAATAGTTTCTTTTTCTTAGTGATATTTGGTTTAGTGTGCATGGAAGGAAGAGTTTTTAAGCATCTTTATTGGTTTCTGTTTATTATTTTTATATTCAGTTCTTTTATGTGCATAAACTAGGCATGCACCAACTGTTAGAGCTTTGTATGGATAAAAGTCTTCTGGTTTAAATTTTGGTTAACTGAGATACTGATCTTAATCTTTAATTAGGTTGGTAGCATAAAAAAAATATGACCAGCAGCTACTTTTTGTATGTGAGGGCACTGAACTAAACAGGTATTCAGGATCTGCAGCAAGCATAGGCTTTGTGGTACAGAAGGTAGATAACCACATGCCTGTGTCTTAAAACTACATCTTCATTTTTATTTATTTATTTGTTTAAACCAGCTATGGTCATTTGGTAAACTATGTGGTAAAGGGCTTGAACCTGCTGGATGCTAAGCAGTATGTAAATCATTAATTCGGTGGGAGCTGAATTATAGGCTTGTGTGGTCCATCTTTATAGTCTACCTCTTTATCTTATTTGCAGTAGGTGAAAAGCATCAATGTAACTTTTGCTTCCTATTGTAAGCTTTCCACCATGCTTGACAGGTAATCAAAGGCAAAATTTAGGGTAAGCATTTAGTTTTGCCCTCAACTGCTACCTCTGTTCTGCACATTGATTTGTTACCCATTAATACAGGGTATGACTCCTGTTGATACAGGATAACCCTAAGCCATCGTTCAGCAAGGTTTCACATGAACAATAAAACAAAACAAAGCAAAACAAAACAAACCAGAAAAACCAACCAACCAAACAAAAACCACCCAAAACAAACAAAAAAAAACCAGCACTTCCAGGCAGTAAAACTTAAAGCTTTAGTATTCCTGGTTGCCAGTTAAAGTTTTATTGTGTCTTCTCTTAGAGTACCATATACTTGCCAGCATTTGGATTTGCAAATTATTGCAGATTAGATGGCTGGCCTTCTGACTGGTGTAGTATAACACTTTTTTCCTGAAGTTCCTTATATATAATGTTCCTTTCCCTACGTAACAAATTTAAAGTGGATTTTATTGAATGACTTTATAGGATCTGGGTTAAAAAAAATAAAAAAAAATTAGATGAGCTTTGTTTGCGGGTTTGTTTGATTGTTTTGCTATGGTTATAATACTGTATTGAATTAAGGAAAGATACTGGGTTTCCACAAGAAGTAACATGGAGCTGTCTTATCTTTGTAGATCATTTTAATGATCATTTTAAAGCCAAAAGGCCTATGTGCTCTTCATAATTCTGTTTAAATTCTTTGCTTAGGAGTGTTGACTTAAGAAATAGGGCCTTTCTGTGCATAGCTTAAAAAAAAGTAGACCTTAACAATATCGGTTTCTTGTTTCTCATGTGAACATCTTCTTTCAGTGAATAAAGAGGGGATCATATTCATTGAAATATCAAAAATAGAAAATGATCCCGTTCTCTTGCAATTCAGTGCTGTCCTGCTAGCATTTCTGATGTGGCCCAGTTTTTAAGGTTCTGTATCTGTTTGTCCCCAACACTTAGGACTTGAACTGCAGCAGGCAGTTGTGCAGCTTGAAATTGTAGAAGATATCTTGCAAGGATAAGTGTATCACAGACACATGCACACCATTTTTCAAGCTTTGCCTATTTTTCTTTTTTTCTTTTTAGGAGACTATCTTCACTTTGACGTGATGTGTGAAGTCTGTTAGCATTTTTTGTTTGTTTTTTTTTTTTACAGTTATTGTGGAAGGTATGTATCAAGAAAAGTAAATCTTGTTCTTTCTGTGTTCATTTTAGTCAGAGCATATTGCCCTCAATACAGAAGCCAAATAAGAGATATGTGGAATTGTATTTCATTACAAATTCATGAATACTGATATTTTGTGGGGTGGGGATAATGTGTCTGTCTAAAAACTTCTCAAAATAGTAGTTTCTATCTGTCTTTATGTTCTGTGTGAAGTTTTACACATTTTCTGTCCTAAAACTTAGTGTATAATTTCCAACAGGATTTTGTTTTTCTGCATTATAGGCATTTTAGTGTTGCCAATTAAGTACCTTTTTTAAGTTGACTACTAGCTTCAGGATGCATTGTGCTGCATGAAGACCAAATTTGTAGTCACCCTTTCTTGTTAAGCTTTTTTACTTGTTATGGAAGAACCAAACGGAGGGCTATATTAAGCACACAGAAATGTTAAACAGACACTTTGTACTCAGATGAGAAAGTAATAGCTGCTATTACTGTAGCATATAAAAGATGCAAGACATAAGTATGGGCTCTTTAATTAGAATTTAAAAAATTACAGGTAGAAAAGAAGTGGTGCAACATGTACTTACACTCTGAATAACTTTATATGTAACTTCTTATTTAAGGCGTATTAGATTTTCTGTCATCCTGCTAAGGAAAGGGATTTGTATGAGCCTAATGTAAGCAAGTTTAGTACAGTATTAAGCAACTGTGCATGACCTTCAAGCACAGTGTATATGTGCTATATGCTTTGAAGCAGTTTGTGGTGAGAACAGAATGCTAGTGATGCAAGCATCTGATGCAGAGATGTCAAGTTGATCAGGCTTCAGCGATTCCTTCCTGTCTCCAGCTACCTCTCCCCCTCCTACCTGCAGCATGTGACTGGTAGAAGGCTGGAGTGATTTCCATTTCTGGTATGCCTTACCACTGTTAATGTGTTGTGCTGTAGCCTGACAAGGAATAAGATTTCTTTCTAGCTCATTTGGAACTCTTTATGCCCAGCTTCCATTTTTGATGCATTTATTCAAAGACATGAGCAATTTGTAGGCTATGTATAATATAACAGCTTGTAGGCTATTAGTCATAATCACATGAAGGGAAAGCTTGTAGAGTATAATATGTAGTACCTACTAGACCAATTCATAAAAAATGAAAAAAACATTTACAAGCTTTCAAGCTTGAAAACCTTTCTTTTGGCTTACTCAAGTTTAACATAAAATCCGTATTTATTCTCTGAGAGCAAATGTTTTCTTCTCTATTCCGTATCAAGTAAAAACTGCAATACCTTGCTGAGTCTTTCATAACTTTGCCCCTCCCTGCTTACAGACTTACACTTTCTTTTGTCAATCCCACCATTTTACCAGAAAAACAGAGTAATTATCCAGAACTGATGCCCACACATGAAATATATCAGCATAGATCTAGTGGTATAATGATATTGCAGGAACTCTCTGCCTGTTGATTTTTTCTTTAGAAAGAAGCCCTTTGAGAAATGGAGGAAAAAAGGTCAAAATTTGAAAATAGCAGAGATTGTATTGCAAAGGAGAGGCATGAGTCAAGGCTGGAAACAGTGTAGTGATCTCAAATGCGCTTGTGCATGTGTGAGCATTTAAATCATTAATCTGAAGAATAGGCTAGTCTGGGGAAAAAGAAATGTAGCTTCCTTACTGGAGACATTGTGGCACTGTGATAAATAATTTGTAAATAATGAAAAGACAGTATATATTGACATATGGAAAAAACAGTGTGATTTAAATTCACTGAACTTTATTAATAAAGCAGATCATTTTATTTACCGTGAGAGTCAGGAGCTGCGTTCCTTGCGTTCTCTCAAAGGTAGCCAGTGTTTTGAGTTCATGATGATAAATAGAAAGGTATGTTATGTAATCTGTAGCAAAAATAATAAATTGGTTTACTTTTAAATATTATTTGGATTTTTTTTCTTTTTTTTTTTCCTTCTTGAATCACTTTATTCTTTGAGGGATCATAATTTACCCAAATGGGTTGCTGTGTCTTTGAAAATGTTTGTTGAATGCTTAACTTTAAACATGTTTCTGACTACCTTTAATAGAATTGTATTTGACACAATACATCAAACTGATTTCTAGTCAGCTTAGAGTATCAGAATTTACCAAAATGTAGTAGTCTCAAATAGTGTAGAGTTTGTAGCATAGAAATGACAAAAAGGTCTTGAATGTTTTACCTACTTTTACTTCATTCAGTGGTAGAACAGCTGATGAGATTTACTTTCTGATTGCCTCTGATGTCTCTGAAAATGTCATGCCAGGTCTGTGAAAGATCTGCTTTTTAAGAAATACAAACATGTTTCCTGGCATAGTGGGTCTGTTTCATATCTGTGAAACATAGCCCCTCCACTGTTTTGGGGCTGTTTTGGAGTTTCTTGGGTGGGTTTGTTGGTTGGTTGTTTTTTTTTTTTTTTCAGTCACTGTTTGTGATCTTCTGGGGTTTATTCCTTTATCAATCTTGAATAGGTTACAAATGGTGTGGGTTTTTATCATGAATCGAATGAGCTCCCAGAGCAGTTCATCCACTCAACGTAGGCGAATGGCTCTAGGAATTGTCATTCTTCTCCTTGTTGACGTGATATGGGTTGCCTCTTCAGAACTCACTTCTGTAAGTATTGTTCTATGCACCTTAAAAGGAAAATAAAAGCCTATTTAAGAAAAAGATGCAACAGAAGCATGATCAGACAGTGTTTCTAGTATAGTTTAATTACTTCTTCAGTACCAGGAACATAATATCCTAAGCTGCATTCACGAAAAGGTACAGACAAGCTCAACTCTGTGATTGTTGCTTTCAAGACAGAAGGAGTTACTGATGATTTTAAAATTAAACAGCATAAGCTTATAACTGTGTAATCAGGGAGTTCATTTTGTTTATTGCCTGTTTGATTAAAATAACGCCTGTATGCTTCTCAAGAAATAGCAAAAGAGCTGTAATACTGCAGGGTAGATGGCGTGCTAGATTATAGTTCAGAACATACGAAAGTCTAGGACCAAAGGACTCTGATCATGGAGTTTAAACCCTATAATTGTAGACAAGTTTGTCATGACCTAGTTCCTATATTCCGCCTTGAAATTAATCTGGTATTTACTTCATGTTGAGTTTTAGGACTTGGAGTTTTAGCAATGGAAGACAAGTTTTTAATAAACTATTGCAAATTCGGGTTTCTGAATGGTCATTAAATTTTTACGTTCTATATCGGTTTTTAAACTAAGCATATAAAAATGTTTGCTCTTAACATGCTATTATATTAATAAAACATTTTTTTCCAGTCAGTTGGTGTCATCATTATTGATACTGAAAATTTACTTACTGAAAGTAATCTCTAATTTATGCTTACTGTGCTATTGCTAATAGAAGTGGTCTTTCATTTAGAGAATATTTGCATTTTCAGTACTATTTGAGTTCAGTGGCATATTGATCGATATGTTGCTTGATTAGATACAAATAATAATTATTTTTCCCCAGTGGCATTGTATCTTGCAAAATGGCTCAGTGCCTTCTTGTTGGCTTTTATGATAGCTTGGGAGAGGATACCAGAATAAGTACAGCCCCTTGTGTCTTTTGGTCACACGTGCCAATACTTGCAGCACTGACTTTTTGGGAATCAGACTGTTCTGGTCTAAAACCTGTTTGTTCATCTTGTGAATTCTCACCTAATTGTTAATTTTGGATACTGCAATTATTTTCTTTCCGCAGTATGTTTTTACAAAGTACAACAAGCCTTTTTTCAGTACATTTGCAAAAACATCCATGTTTGTTCTATACCTCTTGGGATTTATTGTTTGGAAACCATGGAGGCAACAGTGTACTCGTGGATTTCGTGGAAGGCATGCGGCTTTTGTAAGTATTTTAACTCTGTGAATGTTTTAATATTTGTTGAAGTTTCTATAGAAAAAAAAAACTTAATAAAATAGAGACTAGAGAAAAGCAAAGTTTACATATTTGTGAAATAGTGCTTTCAGAAAAGCAATTATAAACTGAATTATGGCACAGGAAGACATGATAATCCTAATATTAGTCTTGTAAGAAGAAGAAAAGAAAGGAAAAAGGAATATGAAACATTTCAGGAATCCTAAGAAATGTTTCACTGGGCCAGACCATTGGCTCATCTAGCCTGGTATTTTATCTTGGACAGTTGCAGTGGATAATTCTTTTAAAAAAGAGCTTATGAGCCTCATCACTCATAACTCATGTTGGCTGTGGGTTCCCTTTTATTCCCCCAGCATCTGTAACCAGTGGAATCAGTATTTGAACTTTGCAGTTGATTTTCATTACTGACTCTTTGGCAAAACTGTGAACTGTTTGATGAGAGGTTTTGAGGTTTTTAAACTTACATTTAGGAAAAGTGGTAGAATTATGGTTTTGTTGTTCATATTGTATTTTTATAGCATTTATGCACAAGTGACATTGTGTTGCTCATTCTGCAGCTAAGCATTATTTGTGTTAGAGTCTAAAATTACTGTCATATTACAGAAATACATACTCTTTTCCAAGGAAATTAAGTGTTGCTGCGAAGAGCGCACATGCTGTGCCAGTGTTTCAGAGTGCTGAACAGCAGGACTCAGGAAACAGTGAGGCATTTGGCCTGATATTAATCTTGCATTAAAATAACAGAAAATGTGATCCAGGAATATGCTGTATGCTGTTAATCAACATGTCTTTATAGGAAATAGCTTGTGTGGAGATTTGACTTCAGTTCTGGATATATTAGACTTCATTGGTAGTGACATTTGTAGGAGTAGCAGGCTTCAATTGAAGTGTTACATGACATTAAGCCAAATTATACATACCCCCCCCCCAAAAAAAAAACCAACAAAAAAACAAGGCAACCCCGCAAAAAAAAAAAACAAAAACAAAAAAAAAACAACCAAAAAAGCCCCCACAAACCACCAACCAAAAACAAACAAAAAGGCACCCCAGAACAGCAAAGCACTGCTAAGAGAAAAAAAATCTGAAAACAAGCCCCTTAAATCTTTTGTTAAAATAAGCAAAAAATCATGTTAAACATACAGAACATTTAGAGTTAGCTGATATCTTGAAATAAGTTTTGGTAGTCAGCCTTTAACGTGAAGTGTCTGTGTACGGTATGGCAGATGCTAGACTTGATGCTATTCAGGATCTTCGTAAGATAATCAGGAAATAAGCAGAATTTACAGATTCTTTACTGGCATTAATGACCAATAATGGTGATGAAAGCACTATAGAATGATTAGTTGAATGGAACAATTATAGTGACCAAATTTACTAATCTGAGCAGAATAAGGGGCTGTTGCCTAGTGTGAATTGTAGTCACTATCTTGACCCACTGAATCTTGTGCAGTGCTGTGTCAAGGAAAGAAATAATATGAGCTGGACAGCTATGACTACGAGTGCTCAATCAGTCACATTTTGTGTGTGTCACTCATGGCAGCGCAACTGGGATCTCATTATCTTTCTAATCCTACAAAAAGTAATTTTTAAAATAATTTGTAGGAAATAGCCATTACTTTTGGTGTCAGCATAATTCAAAAGAACAGGCAGAGAAAGGACTGTAGCGTGTAGGTAGAAGATTTTATTTATTTATTTATATCCACACACCCACCTCCTGAGTTCAGTTAAGCGTTTAACTGTGTAATTACTACATGTGCCTGTGAAATGTCTTGTGTTTATTAATCTGGAACAAAAATACTACATTTACAGATTTCTCATTTCAGTAATGATTTCTAAGTTAAACACTCATACCTTACTTTTATGCTGTCTTCTACATTAGGGGATTTGTTTAATAGGTTTCTTACCAGCATGGTAGAACAGCAAGCTTCAGGTCGGGGAACATGGTTAGTAGTGCTTGTTAATGTGAAGAAATGAAGAGTAAAAATTACACTTGACCCCATCCTAGTTTAAGCCTTGTTAAAACTAAAGCAGAGTTCCAGGTTTTTATGCAAAGGAACTTTGCCTCAGTAAAATGAAGAATCAAGAGGCTTGTTGTCAACACATGCACAATAATCCAGTGAAACAGGGTTTGCTAAGACTAAACTTCACAGTTTTGTCATTCTAACAGCCTGATCTGCATTGCTATCTGGGTAGTTGAATTGAATGGGATTTTCTGGGAGATACAAAGAATTACTGAAGCTACTTACTGGACTTGTAAACCCTCTTGGTTTTTGGGGGGATGAGGCCTGGAGGGAGAAAATGCAATAGAACTGTGGAAAAAGGCATTAAAAAGTTTATTCTAAAAATCCCCCACAGTTATTAATAACTGTGCCTTGATATATTATTGATTTAAGGTTCTGTAATTAGTTTGCAGATGCTGAAGGTTATTTTGCTGCTTGTACAACAGATAACACTGTAAACAGTTCTCTGGTAAGTGCCTTAATTTGTGAAGGTCAATGCTTTACCATAGCATGACACCATTATACAAACTTACTGTTTTTAAAATAGGCGGTCTTAAATGTAAAGTGTTTGGCAAAGGGAATTGCCAACTTAGATGTTACTAATAAGCATTGCAAATAATGGTGTTGCTTATTGTAAGAAATACAGGTTCTCAGCTCAATAAAACACTTGAATGTTTCTGTACTAGTTTGTGAAGTAAATATTTGTCATGCTAAGGAAACGTTTACATATTCTCCTCAGTAGCTGACAAAGCAAAAAGTGGAGAGCCACTGGTACAGCCAAACAGTTTTCAAGACCAAAATACGCAATGGAATCAGTTAGTTGAGTATCTTGTATATGAATTGGTTAGTTGAGTGTGTTGTATAATGTGAACCCGCATTGCATTTTGAAAGAGAAACGCAGCGGATTCCTTCCAGTGGATGGAGCGATTACTGTATACTGAATCAGATGTCAGTACTGGTATTCTGCTGACAAGCTGCATTGCCAGATAGCATTTTTGTGGTGATTTTTGTCATCAGTAGGTGACATATGCCCCTGTGGATCACAGAATGCTCTTTAAATCACATGCCTAAATCAGAGGCCAAATTGGGAAAGTATCCAGAACACAGAACTTACACTATCTCTGTAATAGAGTAAGGGGAGGCAATTGCATGTTGACAAAACTACTTACAGGTATTTTATCCTGAACAGGGAGTCGAAGTGAGATTTTTCAGAATTAGTCTTCATTTCATTCTCCCCCTCTCCCTCTCCCAACTTTATTGACATGTAGGAATAAAATTGTCTGAGGTTGCTCAATTCATTAAGATCCTCTGACTCTAGAAGCAAGATTCATCATTAGCCTTGGAGAATTTTGCATTAATTTAAACATTCACAAAAAATCTGATCCTAAAGAAGGACCTAACCAAAATGGAGCTACCAGATCATTCTCATTACTTGACTCTTAGAGTTTATTAACTTTATTTAAACAAGCAGCTTAAAACTTGTGTTGTTACAAGTATTTTTAAGCAATTGAAACTTCTGCTAAGTGCCCATGGTGGTACATCCCTCCACCCCCCATCCCCTGGGCTACTCTGCTATCTAAGGAATTTCTGTCAGGCCTTGGCCTTTGTGTAATGAGTTGGGTGGTGAAGCATCCCTTTAACTCTTGTATGGCTGAGAACAGAGGCACTGATCATACCAGGGACTCCTGTCGCCTTGATAATGTGGGAAGCAGGAGTAGGGATAATCAGTCATTCCCTGGCAGCATTGGCACATTCCTTTGCTTGATTGTACCCTGAATGGAACAGTACCATGGTCACTGGAAATTTGAAAAGTTTCTAGTAATTACCCACTCAGGTTGTGGCCAGGGTGGAAATTTACTAATGACTAAAGCCAATCGTCTTGTGACTTGATAAATACTGGTCTTGAGTGAGGCCCTTTGAGCTTTCCTGGACTGTAGCAGGCTATGAACAGCATCCCCTTCTGAGTGGGATGCCTCTCAGAGTTCACAGGCTTCCCAAGTTTGCCATAATGAGAGGGCCATTGCTGAAAGCTGATGATGAGACCTGGATTCAAGTCCTCTGACTCCTAAGGGAGTTTTAAAACTGAGTTAATTTTCTAAAGTATTTTGGCTTTTAGTTTATAAGCATTTATGGTCATGGGAGGAGAATGAGCATGTATTAATTTTTGTATGTGAATTCTTATGGGTCTCATTTATCATTTGGACAGAATCTGATGAAATGTCCATGATTTTGATGAGCTATATTCTGGAGATGAGTTTTTGTTCATGAGGATATACAAAAAAATGCGTAGTTATTTTTGAATAAATGTTACCAATATGTTTAACATAAAATATAATTTATGTATGAACATTTTTGGCAATCCTGTCCACTGTGTGCAAAACTACTGTGTTAAATTTATTTGTTATAATGTTCACAAAGCTTTAATTTAGTTTTCTAATTTGCTAAATTAATTCTACTGCTTATAATTTAAATATCCTGCTTAACTGTATTTTTACTTATACTGATTCATTTCAGAGTGAACCTTTATATGTTCCTGTAAAGTTTCATGATTTGCCAACTGAAAAAAATGGCAGTAATAATAGTGATGCAGAGAAAAGTGAGTAAAGACTTTTGGAGTGCTGAAATGCCAGTTCTTTGTGAAAGAATTACTTTCCTCTTTGTTGGTATAAATGCTGTCATGTTGCAGGACTTTGTTTTGGCCTTTTGGGTTTTTTTTTTCTCTTCACCCCTGCCTTTTTTGGTTTTGGGTTTTGGTGTTTTTTTTTCCTTCTCTTTACTTAAATCTCTTATTGCTTGAATTGCGGTCTCATATATTTACTTTCAGGTAGAGAAAACATAGGCCTATCGTTCAGTTTACCTTTCTTGGTCACTACAGATCCAGCCTATGTTTATCTCAAGGGACCAGCTGGGTTCAGTACTTGTGATTCTTTCCTTCTGGGCTTGTATGACCAGCAGCAGTGAGTCAGCCTCTGGAAAGACATGCTATTGTCCTTTTTAGAGCAGGAGCAAAGCAGTCAAAGTAAGAATTTTAACAGTCTATGTGCATTCTGATTTTATTTAAGCCTCACTATCCCATGATAGTTGCTGAAACAGGCCTAACTGTCCCAGACAACTATAGATAAACTGGCTGTCAGAGAATCCTATTATCTGATCCAAAATTGAGGGCAAAAGAGTCCCTGCTTACAAAAGGGAACATCTCTTTGTTGATTTCTAGATGATGTGTTAAGAACTGCTTTCTTAGGCTCTACAGTGCTATGTTAACATGCACTTCGGGGTTGTTTGAGCTGTAGTTTTTCCCTTTAGATATGTTATTTATTTATTTATTTTAGGATATTAGGTATTGTTTCATATTGAAACACTTAATGATACTTAAATAGTGATACTTGAAATACCCTTATAAATAAAATGTGATCACGGTTTACAAGCTTAGTTAAAGGATGGATTTCAGTTGAGCAAGTGACCTTATGATCTCTGCTAAGCTTTGAGGTCTGTTGGACACTCTCATCCTCCGAATGAAACACTGTCCTTGCAGTTAGGTATACTTGTGTGCAGTTTTTGGCTGTTTGACTATTAAAACAATTAAACAATCTTATATGTAATATTTATCAATACAGAATAATTCCAACTTAAAAATGTGTTGTTACTTTGCATGGATTTTTTTTGACTGTGACAAGGGATGGTGCTTTTCAGCGTGGTTTTTGTGGGTAAACAACTGTGCTGATTGAAAACGGTAATTGTGCTTTGTCTTATTACTGGCCTATCAAACACCAAAATACTAGCTTAATAGCTAAAATTAATGGTGTGTCTTCTATTCTTATATAAACCTGTTATTTGTCAAATATTGTAATCAGTGCTGTATTAGAACATGGTAGTTTTATTTGCTTATGGCTTGAAAAGTTTAATGGTAATATGCAGCTTGTTGGTTGTTTTTTTTTTTCTTCTCTTTTCTTCCTAAGCTCCCAAAAAGCCTCGTGTAAGGTTCAGTAATATTATGGAGATTCGACAACTCCCATCAAGCCATGCACTGGAAGCAAAGTTGTCTCGCATGTCATATCCAACAGTTAAGGACCAAGAATCGATATTAAAAACTGTAGGAAAACTTACTGCAACTCAAGTAGCAAAAATCAGCTTTTTCTTTTGTTTTGTGGTATGTGTTTCATTCTTTCAGAAGACTTAAGTATAGATGCATTTAAAACTTGTATAATAATAATGAAAGAGTATTGAGATGACTTGTATTCTTTATGCTTCATTTTATAAATGCACTATAAGCATCAAAACTTTCCTCATGCTGGACGTGAAGGTGCAGCTTCTTAAAGGGAGGTTAGTAGAAACAGATCCCAATTGTGTAGTTAACTGTAAGGGCAGTTATGCTTTTGTGCCATGTTGTCCCCTGTTGGGTGTGTTTGGTACAGCAAAAACTAGGGTTACGTGCACACTGTTAGTAGCTGCAGTGAGACTGCATGAAATGGGTAGATGTCAATGTGTCTGCTTTCTGGGCAGTCACAGAAAAAGTACCGTCTCATGGCTCACTGTGGCATTGTGCCCTCCAGTAGCATGAAGAGAAGATAATTGTCCTTTAGCTCCATGGAGGGCTGGGAGATCTACTTATGAATCCATTGGTTGCTGCTGTTTCTGCATCATGCCTGAGTTCTAAGGGGAAAGAGAGCTAATGGTAGCATGATTTTTGAGAAACGGTAAAAATGTAGAGAGCAGATCAGTTATAGCTTTCCCAGAAGTAGCTTCACTGATACTGCTGAATAGATTATATGTAATGTGGACCCACCACTACTTTTCCTCAGGAAGCAGTGCTCTTTAAACGTTTGAAATAATAATAAAAATGACAATAATAATAAATATTTTATTTCTGGACCAGAAAATGGTGATGTACATTAAGAAAGTGCACACAACAGCAAGAAAACAATAATCCACTCATTAGTGATTTTTGGATGGATGAAATAGCTTTTTAAAAAGTTATTTAAAATTCTGTGTTTCTGTGTGTGTATATATATGTATACACACACATGTAGAATTTCTAGGGTAGAGTCCTCATGTTCGAAACAAATCCTGTTTATGCAGTTTGTGGATACTGCTACCTATATACATATTTCTTCTTGGACTGTATAAATATTTCCACCTAAGACTTTAGAGAGTGGTAACTTCCTTGAAGATATATCTGAGATCTTATTAATGAGATTTTAATCATGAAACGATTAAACGCTTGCCGTTTATTCCTTTAAGGAGGAATTGACAGTCATGAATCCTTCCAAAATATTTTTCAGGTACTGAATGTAAACTGCTTGCTTTGTAGGTTGGAGGTGTGTGCCAGTTTTAAGTACTCTTAAAAAAAAAATCTCATTAGGCTGACTAAATGTCCCGTGTATCTCTGAAATGTGCAGTTACAATCTTGAAGCAGTTGCAAAACACCTCAGAAGAATCTTTAGTTACTATAGGATAGTTGGTATAATGTAATTTCAATCATTCAATTATTTTTAAGTTCTTAAATATGTTATTTCATTATAAAACATGTAGTTGAATGTGGTTGGTTTGGTCCAGTTCTAATTTTGCTTCTGTCTTCTAATGTACCTGCCACTTTAATAGAAATCTCTTTGAGGTAAAAGTCTCATTCTGACTTTATTTTTGGATACATAGTTGAATTATTTTTTTCTTTAAGTAGGATTTTATTGCACTGAGAAACTTAAACTCTCTTGTTGCTATCCATATAATCACAAAATAATATTCCTTTTCCCCCAGTGGTTCTTGGCAAATTTCTCTTACCAAGAAGCTCTGTCAGATACCCAGGTTGCTATAGTTAATATATTGTCATCAACCTCTGGTAAGTTTTATTACACCACCAGATGTGCATTATAAGGCTGTTTATAACATAAAAATCTCTTTGGTTACAATAGACTTATGTAATCATTTACCTATGGTTTTGGGTGAATAGGAAGGCTTAAAGCCATTGAATATGTGCATTTAAAAATTTTAGGCTATCCTCATGATTCCCCTGCTTCTTGATTTTCAAGTTTGTGTGTGTATTTCTGCAGTTATGTCTGTATTAAAGACATATATTGGAAGTGTAATAGGTTTGAAGGAAAGGTGGTGTAACTTTTTATTAAAATAGATATAAGTCAGAGTAAAGTCTTCTTGCTAATTATTATTTGTTTGTTTGTTTAAATGGGTTTAGGGGTAAGGATGTTAAGCCACCTAAATACTATGTATATCACTTGCTTGTATATCACTTGCTTTACAGGTTTTATGCAAGGCCCTAATACAAGCTCTAAAGTATTTGAATTATGTGACAGTCCCATGTTTTGAGAAGTAACTTTTGTTGTTTAAAAAACAGTTTTAAAAGCACAATTATGTGATTTTTTTTTTTTTTTTTTCAGTGACTTTTCAGGCTATTGCAGTTTTGTTAGTATGGCTAGCCTTTCTCAGAGTTGAGCCTGTATTTGCTCATCTGAGAATTCATATCACAAGGTGTTAGTTTCATAGTAGTTCCAATAAAAGTTAGGGATGCTAAGATCAAGTAGTTAAAACAGGTATATGTAAAAGAGAAGAAGAAAAATGTGCTTTTTTCTGGACTAAGTAGGAACGAAATTTGGTTGTATAAGCTCTTCTTCATTTCTTTTGCAGGGCTTTTCACTTTAATCTTAGCTGCAGTCTTTCCCAGTAACAGTGGAGATAGGTTTACCCTTTCCAAATTATTAGCTGTCATTTTAAGGTAAGATAATGGGCTGGAACATTTGGTCAAGAACTCCCTGATACCATGAGAGAACTACTGTACCTATGGTATCTGTGACAATGTATGATATGCTTCACTTTTTAAAAATTGTTTCACAGATAAATTGAACAAGTGAATTAAGTCTGTTTAAATACTTAATATCATGAACAATTATTGAATTGCATGCTCCTGTAGGAAATTGGATTAAGTAAGTTTCTGTTGGAAATATGTGGACTTACTTTCTTGTTCAATTATGGTTTCTTTGTTTTTGTGTAGATGCGGGGCTGGGGGGGAAAGGAAGAGGTTTGACATTCAGTGTTGTCATCCTGTTTCATTAACTGCCCAGTTCAAGGAAGTTAAAAATGGAGTTGGTGTGTTTGGTTTTAGCTTATGATAAGGCCTTAGCAAAACAGAACTCCCTTTGGCTTTTCCAGAAGTGGATTTTGATTAACTAAAAATACCTAAAGAGAGAACTCTATTATTATATTTTTATCCCCTTTGTTTTTGTTCTTTTTCTTTGAAAAACAAACTTCTTGAGTTTAAGTAACATTTTACGTTCCTTCTTTTTCACTAGCATTGGTGGTGTGGTACTTGTTAACCTTTCTGGATCTGAGAAATCTGCTGGAAAAGATACAATAGGTATTTACCTGTTTTTTTTTTTTTAATCCTAGAACATGCAGTGATAAGTACCATCTTCTAACAATACTCAATAGGTCACATAGCAAGCTATAAATTTCTTACTTGTATAACATTTGACAGTCTGGATTTTTAGTTTCAACTTCTGGAACTGGATATTTATGATTATTTTTTTCTATATGTATATAGTTTAATTGGGAAAGTATTTACATTTTTGAGTTTTCTACAGTTTTCCAGGCTTTTCATATATAATAGCTTCTGTAATAAATTATTTACCTCTGACAGTTTTATAATAGGCATGTATTTAGGTATCTTAGTGGGCATAATGTATTTGGCATGCCTGAAGTGACTGTTTTTTTCATTTTACAGGTTCCCTTTGGTCTCTTGTAGGAGCAATGCTGTATGCTGTGTACATAGTAATGATCAAAAGGAAAGTAGATAGAGAAGATAAACTTGACATACCAATGTTCTTTGGTAAGACTGAAAATGACCCTATTGAAAGTTTTAATTCAGTGTGTGATTAAATTGTTTGCTTTCAGGCACCGAATTGTATAGCAGAGGTAAAGGGACTCAGAAAAGCCAAGGAGGTGGAAAAAGCCTATTGTTTGCATGGTTATGAGTACTCCAGAGACTGGTTGTGTGAATTGTTTCTTCTTTACAGTCTTAACAATGAAAGATAATACTACCTGTAGGAATGCAGGCAGTCCCTTTGACTCAGTGCCATTTAGGGTTTTTTTTTTTCCTTTCTTTCTTTTTTTCCCAAACCTGTAAATATCTGATGTAATTGTTGTTTATGAATTTCAGGTTACATTTCTTATATTAATTTCCTTTTGATTTAATATCATGTTTTGTTGCTGCTTTTATGTATGTATGTTGTCAAAATAGCGTAATATAGCTGAGGTTTTAGTTATATTTATGGATATGTATTATGATTTATCTAATATTGTCTTTATACTCAGGTTTTGTAGGGCTGTTCAATCTGTTGCTGCTGTGGCCAGGGTTTTTCCTGCTTCACTATACTGGGTTTGAAGCATTTGAGTTTCCCAATAAGCTGATATGGATGTGCATTGTTATTAATGGCCTTATTGGAACAGTTCTGTCAGAATTCCTCTGGCTGTGGTACGTAATACATGCTTTATGTATGTTTCACAGAAATTGTCTTACCTGTGTTCTCAAATGTTGAGATGGCAAATTGTCTAGGTAGGGTTTTCTGCCTTTTAAAATTTTTCTTCTGTCCATGTTGAGTTGCAGGATGTCATCCATGTCATAACATCCTGTTTAAGAGCAGCAGCTTGACTTCTAAAAGTAGTCATGTATCTTATAGTATTTATTAAGATACTATGTTGGTCAGCTCATTCTAGAATTAGCATATTGAGAAAAAAAGACTTTGTGCTACAGAGTTGCAGTAGTAATGGGACAGCATGATTTTCTGTGGGAACAGTTCTTTAGTTTCCAAGACCTTGTGCATGTTGGATATATACATGAGCTAGAATCCAGTATTCTATAGTTGACAAACTTGTTTAAATCTTCAAATACTGAATGAGAAAAATCTCATCAGAACGTATTAATCATGAAGATATGGCAATTCTTAACCTAGCTTTTCTTTAGTAATTTAATTATATGATAGTTTGGATAGGTCATCAGCAGAGGATTAAACATCAGACTTCTAGATGAGCTGCTCAGAAGCTGTAGCAGACTTAAACCTTTGCATGGCTTTTAAAAGCACAGTGTTGCTGGAGAACGGTTCGGTAAGTCAGGCTCTCAGCTTGAGAGAATTTAGGAAGTCTGAGTTTCTTCTGGGCCAGCATTAAGTTAAAATAGGGGTGTAGCAGAAAATTCTACAAGTTGTAAAGTCTGGTTTTATTCTGGAAACCCTGAGGAAGAGTTTCCAAAAAGAGACATGCTTCCAATGCTGTACTCAGTGAACAGTTACTCAGTGAACAGTGTCAGTTTTGGTCTTAGTTTTGAAAAGGTGTGGCAGTTTGTGAGCTTTTGCCTGAGAGCCCTTGGTGTTTGGGCTCTCAACTCAGCGGTAGAGAGACTGGAAAACCTCATGGGATAGCTACTCTGAAATTGAGATGTCTGTTCTAGGATCCTAAGTTGTGTGACAACAATAAAAGATCTAGGTGGAGTTCCTTGAAAGTTCCATAAAAACTTTTTTGTGTATGTGCATTGTTTTTGTTTTGTTTAGTTTTGTTTTCAGAATAAGCTTAAAGTTTAGAAAATTTAATCATGACATTTTTTGTTCGTTTGCAAACTTTTACACCAGTCTTAGTTGTAAGTGCATTGCAGCATATGGTTCTTTGTAATTTAAGTTATTGATGGAGTATTTTTGTGATGATAATGCCATCATGTAAGATGAGACTGCACTTCAGTATCAGTTAGTAAAAAGGTTAAGTGTGATTTCAACATGGGCAAAATAACAAATGAAACTCCCCAAACCCCCAGACTTGGCCCTTATACCAAAATCAAGTATTAGCATAGGGTTAAGTACATGGGTGTGCATGGGTGTGACTTTTTGTGTGCATGCCATTTGTGTAATTACTTAGAATGATGATCCAATTGAAGAGCTAATTTTATTTCCAGTTCCATTTCCCTAGAATTTTGGACTAGGACTAATTTCAGAGTTTGTGCTGACATCAGTCACCCTTTTAGCTGTCCAGTGTGCCACAAGTATCATCCTCTTTCCTTTGGAGTAAATATTATCATTTAACCTATTCATTTACTCCATCCGGTGACATACTGCCAGCTTGCTGGTAGATGTGACACTAACAATTTTTTCTCCAAACTAGCTTATAAGTTTCACTGGATTCTGTACTATTTATGGTGTGCTGATGGACAGGATGGTTCTAACTCTGAAGTAGCCAGTGCAGAGATACAGAGATACTCTATTATGGTATAGAAGGAGACTTAGAATATTAGGAAGGAAGTTTGCAACAATGCAGAGTATTTAAATTGCTTTGTTTCTGTTCTCTTGCTTTCTCATCTGCATACATTTTTCTTTGCTTTAAGGACACAGAACATACAAAGTGATTTTAAATACCTGAACTGGTAATTTTTGCTTGCCTGAAAGTCAGTCTTATGGAGGACCTACTGATTTGGCATGTATTTCTCTAATTAAACTGGAAGAGTTTAATTAGAGAAATACATGCATGAAGTCATGTTCTAGAAAATGTTTTCCAAATACGTGTTCAAGTCTTTGTGTTTAAAAGGTATTAACAAACTTCCATGAGGTGAGTGAAAATAGCACTGCTGTGATGCTGCATCTGTTTAATTTTTATGGTAATCAGACTAAATAATGAGAAGGTAAAAAGACAGATTCCAGAATTCTGCCAAAAATTGCAACTGCGGGAGTTTTCCTTCTTTAAAAATCGCTGTATGCAGGACTGATTTCAGTTCCACACAAAAGCACAGCTGATACTGTTTTCAGTACTTGCCAAAGATGAAGGTTGCCTTTATCTCGTTTAAATAATTTTTGGGTGCCTTTCAAATAAGAGGCTGACTCCGTAGTGGGCAGTACTGATATGAATTGGGTAGATACCCCTTTCTGTTTATTTTGTTCATATGGTAGTCTGTCTCATAGAGGAGTATTTGCTAAGAAGCTTCACTATGCTTGGTAACTTTTGACTTGGTCAGCCATAAAATGGAAATTGCAGTTTTTTGTGTTGCGTATTATGTTCTTCACTTAGTATTCAAATGGCTCAGACTAGTCATGTTGTATTTGTAGAGGCTTATATATTTATAAGGCTTGTATTATATATGTTGTATTATATATGTTGTATTATATATGTTGTATTATATATGTTGTATTATATATGTTGTATTATATATGTTGTATTATATATGTTGTATTTATAGGCTTATATCAAAATGCCAAAAATCTTGAGAGCTCATCTGTGCTCTGAACTCTGTCCTACATAAGCTTTGAATTACTTTTTTTTTTCTAATTTAAAAAGCCATTTTAGTCATTTGCAAACTAAACAAGACTTGCAAAGGAATTTGGGAAAAAGGGTCAGTATTCTGGGGCTGTTTGAGTACTACTCTGTCATGCATGTAGTTTTGTTCTGTCATTTAAATAAATTATAATAGATTTGTGTGGCTCAGTAGTTTAGTGAAGTCTAAAGACTTTGTTCCTGCTTGAGAGATATTAAGAGACCACTTGCAGAACACAGAGAAGTCTTACAGAGACTCTGAAGAATGGGTTCAAGGTTGTATTTTAGAATGAGATTTGAAAAGCATAGTTTGTTAAAAATTTGTCTGCTGTAAAAATGTTTTTCTTTTTGGGTATCATTTGTAGACATCAGTAACCTTTCATTTTTTAATTAACCAGACAGGGCAAAATAGATTTAATTGCTGTAAGCTGGTATTAAACTATTTCAAAATGGAAACAAAATGCAGGTTTTTCTAGGTGGGGTCACTCCGTGTCAAGTAGGGAATTTTTCATAATCTCAGAAAGTTTGTGAGGGAATCAAACCTCACTCCAGAAGACATCAATAGTCTAGTTAAGAATTCTGAGCAGTTTTACAGATTTATGATGGCGTGTGGTATCTTTATTTTTGTTTATTAAAGCAAACAATATGTAGCACGCAAATGTCTTCTGCAGTTTGTATTAATTCAGTTGTATTTTAGCTTTTAAATAAGACTCCTTTATTAATATATTTTTAATTGTCTTTTAGGGGCTGCTTTCTTACCTCATCACTGATAGGCACACTTGCGCTAAGCCTTACAATACCTCTGTCCATAATAGCTGACATGTGCATGCAAAAGGTAATGTACTTACCAAGTTCTGAGCATTATTAACAGAACTTCTTTGAATTAAATAGTGGTGTTATTTTTAGCAATGTATACAATGAACAATAGTTTACTTCCATTTCTTTTTAATAATCTCTTGATATTGACAGTTACAGTAATCTTGCATTTACAAATGTGCACTTGTACGCTTAAATATATGTGCTTAAGATGCAGCTTGTATGAAAAGTACCCAGAGTCAGCAAAGGCTGGCCAAATGTTTTACCTTGAGCAGGCGTTTTTCAGAATTAAACAACTGCAAGTACAGTGCCACTTAATACCTTTACAGTTACAGACTTGTTATAGACTGCCTATCTTGAAGATACTCAATTAGTGACAAAACCAAAAACGTGCAGGTTTACCACAAAGGAATGTAGCAGCTAAAATGTTTAATTGCGCTTTATTAGATTCATGCAGATGTTAGGTTTCCAATTTAACTGTCCTCCTTCAGGGTAGTCTGGTTTCCCTGGCATTGAGGTAAAAGCTCTGGAAAGCCTTGCATGTAGAGAAAGAAAAGAATCTGATAATATGCGTTTAGAATAGAAACAGTATGAAGTCAGCTTAAAATGCTTCTCAAGCTGTATAGATATTTTGTTTTCATGCTGATGGGCTAGAATTCCCAGTTACAAATATTTAATTATGAACTTCAACTCTGCATACTTGAATTTAATATTAAATAAGTGGCAAGGAATATAAAATTCTTAATTTCATGTGAATAGTGATTATTTAGCATATACTTTATGCAATTATTAGGGTCTTTTTGTTTGGGATTTTGTTTGGCTTCTTTTGTTTGTTTGGTTGGGGGATTTGTTTGGGTTTTTTTCCCTTTTAAATTGAGGTCATTTACTTAATGTCAATGTGGATTTCAGAAAATAAATCTGAAAAAGGTTAAAAATAAAAAAGGAAAGTCAAATTAGAAAATAAAAGGAGAGTCGGAGCCTGAATAAATACTTGCATAATGAACACGTGAGGTACACTGTGTTTCATATTAGTAGTAGCTGAATATTCAACATGGAAATACTGCAAAACCTTGCAGTGATTCTAACAGTAATAAAACATTTGTTGGCAAGATAACTCTGTGTTGCTGTTTATCTGCAATATACACTTGAAACATAAATTAAATAGGAAAGTAAATACCTAATGATAGTCACTAAGGAAACAAGGCAAAAAAAAAAAAATCTGTATACTTCTCCCCCAAAAATTCGGTTTAGTGAGGTGGAATAAGGTTTAGGTGTGAGCTAATGCTGGTAGCAAAACCCGAGAATTTTGTGTGTGTGCGCGCACGTGTGTATGTATGTGTATGAAAAGCTTAGCTTGTCTTCTGAAATGATTACTCTAAACTCTCCTCTGGAATACATTGAAAAATTGAATATGCTTTTTTTAATTCTCAATAAACAGCTTAATGCCTAGGCTATTTAATCTGAGTAAGCACAGAGTCCAGATTTTTAAAATTAATTTGTTCTTCGTGTACTCATGCAATATTGAGGCATTTTAAGTAGCAGAAATATCTTTAAAACTCTGCTGGATGACTTTCAGTGGATGTTGGTAATACAAGGGCAAGTTACATTAACTCATTTTTATAGTTTGTGACGGTCCAATTTTTATTTATATTACTGATATTTATAAGCAAACAAAAAAGCTGCACAAATGTAGCTAGCTATCAGTCTTTCTGTACACCTTCTGTTTGCTCTTTTCTTATTTCTTGTTTTAAATCTTCCACTTCCTGTGTTGTCCCACTTGATGTGCTTGCAGCATCTTTCATGATCTGAATCTTCATGCCTGATCCATTTCATCCACGATTCTTTGCTGCCACTTGGTTCCTTCTGGAGCTTGTGTTCTGTGTACTTGGTCCCTTCTGTTCCTTTTATTTTTTCTGTCTTTGTTTGAAAAGGCTGCTTATTCTCTTTCTCTGGGCAAATACAGAGCCTGACTGATTTTATGAAGCTGGCCATTAGCTGACAATGCTTCTAACGTCTTGCCATATGCAGGAGAGTAATCAGGGAGGGGTTGGGGGTTCCTTTTCTTTTTTGTTCCTTTTCTGATTCATATGTGCATTTCACATTTCTGTTGCCCTTCCTTCTTCCTGTGGCTGTTATGTCCTTACTGTCTAAGTTTCTGCTTCCTGTCTGTTGGATGCTTTTAGCTTGTGGCTGCCGCTTGTATATTTATGGGAATGGAAACTTTTTTTAAGAAATTGCTAGTAGTAAAAGCACAAATGAGTGATTAAAGGCAAATTCCTGCAGAATTTAAGGTTGTTTGTACGAGTGTGTTTGTGCACGTATGTCTGTGTCTTACAATATGCATAATTATTAACTTTCTGGGTATTAGTTATTCTGTAATAGTCTGGCATAAATCAGAATCTTAAGAAATTACATCCAAAATTTTAATAAATATTTAAATATTCCTTTTGGTAGCTTACGTGTTTATAAATTTCTATTAGACATCAGTAAGATAACATAAAGCTCTTAAAGCTGCAGTTCATTAGATTTTTGAGAATGAGCATCAGCGCTAGGTATCAGATCTGTACCCTTTTTTCCAGTTTTCAACTTTGCAGTTTTTTCCCACAAGGGGGAGCTATATTCATGGTTCATTGCTCTGTTGGCCTCAGAGGTGTTTCAGAGGCTAGTTCTTGTTCTTGTGTCCTTGATTTAAAATCATAGAATCACAGAATAGTTTGCGTTGAAAGGGACCTTAAAAATCATGGCATCCTATGGGCAGAGACCTCCCCTAGATCAGGTTGCTCAAAGCTCCGTCCAACCTGGTTTTGGACACTGCCAGGGATGGAGCAGCCACTGCATTTCTGGGCAACCTGTGCCAGTGCCTCATCACCCTCTACCTTTTTATAATTTTAAGTTTTAAACAGTGCCAGATAATCAATTCTGAGTGTAGTCGTAGATAAAATACTAGTATAGCTACAAGTAGAATTTAATTTAAATTGTGAAAATAATATGCCCTACCTTTTCTTTAATTTAAAAAGAGGATTTCCAGTAGCATAGTCTTTCTGTGTGCATTGATTTCAGCACTTATCACTTAGTGACAATATGTTCATAGTGAGCAAACAGATGTACAAATCTTTCAGGTGAAAGAATTTTTGAAGTGTCTGATGGACTTTCTCACTGGTACCAGTCAGGCAGCTAAAAGCTCAAATTAAAACAACTGGAAATGGAAGTCTTCATCCACATCACAGTGCAAACATATGTTCCACTATAAAGCAGGGACTAGCAGAGGAAAGTTATTCATTTACTAGAAGTAGCAGTGGCTATAGAAATTGTACCAAATAACTTGCCCAATTTAAATTAACTGAAACTGCATATCAAACTGACAATAATAATTATCCCAAATATACAATATGTGTTTTATTTGTTTATTTATTTTAAGACTATTGAGTGAATGATGTTTGTGTTTTAATTCCAGGTGCAGTTTTCCTGGTTATTTTTTGCAGGGGCAGTACCTGTATTTTTTTCTTTTTTCATTGCAACTCTCTTGTGTCACTACAACAACTGGGATCCAGTGATGGTGGGAATCAGAAGAATTTTTGCCTTTATTTGTAGAAAACATCGAATTCAGAGGTAGGGCAGTCACAAAGTATAACCATATCTCTTCTTTAGCCTTTCCAGTTTGTCATACTCTTTTTCTAAGCCACATTACTCATACAGTATTTATTTTAATCTGATTTTATATTCAGGTGTATTCAGGTGTACTGATTTCTTAATAGTAGTAGTTGCCAATCCATTTATTAACCTATGTAATGCTCAAAAAATGGGAAGAGGTGAAGTTTCTTGACATTTTAAAAGAAGTTTCCTAGTGGCTGTCAGTTTTCTTTTTTTTATTTTAAACTTAAAGCCTCTGTGATAACTGTCGTACCCAGAACAAGCAGTTAAAATCGTGCAACTTGTGTCTACTTTATGGAGTTGAGGGGTCTTTGTATGTTTTTAATGGTTGCAGTTCAAACAACTAGCATACATAGTACTTATGTTGGTTTCATGACAAGCAATTTAATATTACTGTATAAGTACTTCTGTTTCTTTTAAGAATGCCAGAAGAAAACGAGCAGTGTGAAAGTCTCATTCCTATGCATAGTGTTTCACAAGATGGAGACAGTTGCTGTTCATAGACAAAAGGTATGTTTAATAAACTACAAACAATGCGGAGAAAGGTAACGATTGGTTTTCATCACCACATTTGTGTTATATAAGCACACATTTTTATAGGGCATACAGTTAATCTTGTGCCGTATTGATAGAGTTTTGAAGGGTATCGTCAAAATCATTATTATTCATCGCCAAGCATTATTCTCACCTTGTTGCAGCTCTTGGTCAATGGTTTTGAAATGTAGTTTTTTTTACTTAAGAGCATTACAGTGTTCATCGAAAATTGGACATGAATTGATAAACCAGAAGAGGCATATAACTTTTTTGCTGTTGAGGTCTCAGTTTGGGCTACTGCTGTTGATTGAAAAAGTCAATGTTTAAGGAAGTTTAGAAGACATTGCTGGACTTAATCATTATGGGTCTAGAAAATGCAAAGGAGTCTTTTTGTATATGTGTGTTGACAATTAAGCTGTTAAATTACATTTAAATATCAGGGAAAATTATTTCTCATGATAAGGATAGGGAAACTAGACTAGAATAGCTAGGGAGTTCACAAAATACCCCTCTCTGACGCAGTTACACAAACCTGTAACAGGGACATTACATGGTTTGTTGATACTGTCTAGGACCATAAAGGCAGTTTAGGGAACTCCCTTAGCCCTATGTGTCAGGGTTTTAGTTTTCAAATAACACATGCAGAATTACATGATGAGAAGTATATTTTCATTTTCCGATGTTGCTTAAATCTGATAATGAAATTAAAAAATATCCTAACCAAAACAGTAATTGTGATGTCTTAAAACACACAGGTTATTTATTTTTACTAGTAAGTTTGAAACAAATACATATGGAGATTCCTTTTTTGGTGATCTTTAATTATGTAGCCCTGATAATTTCTTTTTTTTTTCTTTAGTTTGAAAATGGAATGATGCCCAGCGAAAAGACAATCTGCTGGAAAAGTCCCTAAGGAATCATGTTCCAGTGCCTATTCTGGATTTGTAATAAAAATAAGAAGTTTCAGTTCTTTTGGAACTCTAAACTTTACCTCTTTCTTGCTTTCACCTGGTATTATAAATGAACAAATTTACTACATGCCTATCACCATAGAGAGTCAGTCTGTCAGAGCAACCAACCTGCCTTATCACACAGAGCTCATGGAGTTACTTGACAAAATCAAGAATCAAGAAAACAAATGCTGTTAAAGTGATTTCTTTCTTTAGCTCACGATTTTGTTAAATGCTGGACAATGTTATTTTTAAAAAATACTTTCAAATGATTTATATAAATAAGTTTGCAGGTCATCAAGTCTTACCAGGCTTTCAGATGAAAAGCTAAATAGAGATGTTACCTGTAGTAAGTACAAATTAACTTTTTTATGTTGTATAAACTATTTGGATATTAATAGAAGAAAATAGAGAAATAATTTATTAAGTTCATTCTAGTAATTATTAAGGCAGGATCTTTGTACGGTCCTGGAACACTACATATATATTGTATTATGCCATTTTCAGAAGAATTGTAATGGCAATATGTGCCGATGTTTAAAAATATTTTGCTACCTAACAGTCTGGAATGTTTAAAATTTTAGTGAATGGTAGATTATTAGAAATTATACTACATTTGGGTATACATTCTCAAAATCAGTGTTTGTTTTAAAGAGACTGATTCTGTAACCCATTCTTATTCCCAGTTACCTTACATGGAAAACTAAATTTGAACATTTTCATGTGTATAGCTGCCAAGTTCTAAGCGAGACCAAATTAATTGTGAAAGTTTTTGGTCAATGGGTTGGCACTACACTAATTTTCTGAACAATCTGGAAGATATAGGTGTCTGCATTGATATTCCCCCTGCCCCCCCCCCCCCCCCCCGTTGCATTAATAAATTTATTCTAAACCTGATAATTTTCCTTATAAACTGTTCTTTTCCTTCCACTGCAGTGCTTATGTCCTGTTTGATTCTGAAAAGTTATGAATAGTTATATTCAGGAATATTTGAAATGAGTCAATGCTACTTTCCTACTTCTGGCCTATCAGACACATGTAGAAGTTAATTTTGGCTTTTGATGGATTTAATTTTTTTTTGTAATTGATGGAGGATGGATTTTCAGCTTACAGTATTCTCTTCCATGTAGCAAGGTTATTCATAATGCAGGTTATCTCTAATGTCCTTCCACACAAATACAGAAGGATGATATAAAACAAATGTCTTTTCGTATTCTGACACTTGGAAATTATCCTTCCAAAAGAAATTTTGGTGGTTTGTCGATACAACTGCCAGACAAGATGAAATGCTTGATTTGGAAGGGCTGATTAGCAGGAGCTAGAATTTAATGTAAAAATCTGCAAATAGAGAGGGAAGGAAAAATGAACCTGGGGACTATTCTGGTTAAATATTGCACCTTTATCAAAATTTCCCTTCCAATTTTTAATATTGAATTACCTTCAAATTTCAATGGTCTGAGGTGTCTCTTGAAGATGAGATAGTACATCTTTCTTCGGACACCTGAAATAGGAAGTAAAAGACACTAACAAACCAAACAAACAAGAAACAACCACAGAAAATCCCCCCCCCAATCCCCAAACAAATAGGATTTTATTGCATTTACATAGGCGTTTTGAGAAATGTCACTTTTCAATTTCCAAATGCTATGAGCAAAAGTATTGAAAATGCAATTTAGGGAGTTTCCTTAGTTGTTTGGTTTGGGGATTTTTTTTTTTTTTTCTTCTAAATTACGGCAAATTAGAGAATGTTAGCTTCAACTTTTTTCTGAGAAGTAATGTTAAAGCCTACTTGCAATAAAAAGTTAATGTCTGTTTTTAATTAATGATATGTTTCAATGAAATCATACTAAATATATATTAACTACAACTTAGAATCAGTCAGGACTTGTGGCATCAGCAAACTAAGCCTGGGAAAACAGTTTGCTTTTGGATGGGCAGTTACAGTATTTTTAGTGGAATATTCTAGTACTATTTTTTGAAACTGGTCATACTGATAGAATTGGAGCAGTGTATAATGGACAGTTGCTGCTCATATTTGTCATTAGGTTCATGGCTTAAAGATCATCACAGTCTGCCATGTATATGAGTTCTGTTAACTTCCACTGTTCATTAGTTGAGAGGTAATAAGTAGTGTAAGTACTAAGAAAATACTTGTCTGTTTCTGAGCCCAGGTAGGTTGAAGAATGTTGAGTAAACTCAAAGTTAGGGCCTTTCCGCTATTTTTGTTGTTAACAAAAATGTGGTGTGTTTTTTGTTTGTTTGTTGTTTTTTTATTACTATTTTTATCTAGGGTATTAAATATTTTAATCATGGAATCATGTCACGAGGTAGCTTGAGCTTTTGAATTAAATTGCAGTTCTTTAAAGAGTAAGAAACAAAGGAAACTATCCTTCCAGAAAGGATTTTTAAACAGTGGTGCCCCTGTAGTTACAAGAAATGTGTTAGGGTTTTAATTACAGAAGCTATGACATGTAACATTTATTCCTGCATTTAATAGAATGTGCTGAGTTTTTTTTCTATAAAATCTTGTGACTTTTATTACAAGAATATTTTAGAAATATAATGTCTAATTTGAAATGTAAATTGTGTAGCTCTCTAATGGGTGCTTGGTAAATGCACAAGAGATTTAGCTTTGATTCTCAGGTACCTCTGACATAATGGAGACATGCTGGGTTTTTCTTTCTCATGACACAACTGGAATGTGAAGGAGCTCTCTTATAAATGCTTTATCTCTGTGTGCTAGCATAAATTATCACTGCTCTTACTGTTTCAATTTGGCAGTGTCTTTATTCTGATTTATTTCTTGTAGGAAGCACATACAGTTTAAAAAAAAGTAACGAATTTTTATCTCCAGCATTTCTTGGAATGTCATTAGATGCTTAAGGAACAGTGATTTCCCATGCCTACAAAATGGAAAATGAATACTACATGTGTTGCTCTGTCAAACAGTTGAACTAATTCCTGTAATCTTACGAGACAACCAACAATTTCTTCTGTGTGTGTGATTGAGGTTTTAGAACTGTTTGGGTTTTATATATGGAGGAAATGATGATAATTTGCCAAATGCCACGTAGCATACCTTTGCTTTTAGGGTTCTGGTGAGTCTTGTATAGTTACATACACTGTGTACTGCACTCCAGAACAAAGGGGAAAAAGGATTTCATTTTTTCTGGGCATTTTCTGTCAGGTTTCAGTCATGCTGAAATTGTGTTCACTACAAGGTGCTGCTGTAGGTGTAATACTAATTCAGGAAAGAACTGAAATACACGTTATATATCAGTACTTGACAATCACTTAAAATATGTGGCCCATGAATGCCACTGAAGACACTGAGGGCCTTATGTTTCTGTTGCCCAGTGTGCATTGCATCATGCTTGTTGGCTTTTTGCTTGTGGAAATCTATGTAAGGTGGGGGCTGTAGTATGTGGGTGATTTGGCTGCTTTTGGAGCTGAGCTGAAGCAGACTGCACACTGAAACTCGGAAGCAGTGAGGCGAAGGCTAAGGCACTGCCTGGTTATCTCACTGTGGTGTTGCTAATGTATTTTGTGGAAATATGATGTTAAGCAGGGGTATTCTTAGAAGGATAAACCATGGTGCTGCATGTGATACTTGATCTGGTATGATGGTATATGCATTACATACCTCCTTGTAATGAACTAACAAAGATAGGAGAGCCTGCAAAGTACTTTTCTTGGTGTGTGCTGTTTTAATTGTCATTCCCTTTCACAATACCCATTATGCCTAGGTACTGCTATTCACAACTGCGATTGCTTTAAATAAGGTTGTAAAATGACTTCTTTGTAATTCTTGGTTCCATCTCTCTTTGTGTTGAATGTCGTCATTCCTATTCCCTATTAAAAAATCATCCTATTTTAGGGAAATTAGCAAAACCTCCTATTTTAGGGAATGAACTAAGCCCCCTAGAGGAGGGGAAAAAGCAGTTAAACTTCAGACATGGGGTGTGTTTATGAACACACTTTTAAATTTCATATGAAAATGGGCCTCACTCAGTAAGGCAGAGTATGTTTCTGTGATTCTAAATGAAGCTAAGAAGTGGCATACTCATCAAGAAACAAAACCTAGTATTAGTATCACAATGCTCAGTTATGTGGCAAAGTGTAGAATGGTACTTTTAATCAATTTTCTTTATTCCGGATAAGTTTTGAGTTAGTTACCATTTCTGTTATGGTTGTCATATGTAGAGCATGCAATTTAATAGTAGTATTTAAGTGTTGGTTCACAAACAGTTGTTGTGCATGTTTGGTTGGTTTTGGTTTGGTGGTGGTTTTGTTTTGTTTTTTTTAATTCTTATTATTTTTGTCATTTTTCTATAAAATTCAGGATTGCATTAATGCTGTATTTTGTTTTACATGATCATTGCAGGGCATGATTTCTCAGGGAGATATGTATGATGCCATGTGTTGTGAGAGCTGATAACTAACTCCTGCTTATAACATTGTTACAAACATTTTCACGTTTCACTCAAACATTTCCATCGTTTAACTTTCATGTTGAATTCTTTTACACTTGCCAGGTGTGATGAGAATGTTAAGAGTATTTAAAGGACAATAAAATACACTCTGCCTAATCCTTCATTGTTTTTTTTGACAGAAATCCATTCTAAACTGATGCTGCAATTTTGGTGTAGTTTTTACTTTATGGTACTGTGCACCATATAAACTAATAGTTACACTGCTGATTTTGAAGCTGCACTTATGGCATGACAGTGACAGGACAACTTTCAAAGTTAGGCAATACTAATACATAATCTGATTCTGGGGTGAATGACACAAATGTATTTGTAAAAATTTAATGATACGAATGAAGTCTGTTCACTTTGGGGATTTTTGTTTGTGTTTCCAGTACAGCTGCTTTGGCTAGACTGGGATTTGATCCAAAGCCCACGAAAGTCATAGATAGCATTAATAAAGTAAAACTTTACCGAAAAGAAACTCCGCAGTCAGGTTGACCTTTATGCCTTTGCAGTATTTCTGTCTGCAGAATACATTTGAAGTGGTTTGCTTTAAAACGTCAGTAATATAAATTTGAGGGATTTTAATCCTGATAAAATGGTAAGCATACTACTGTAAGTACTCACAAAAATATTTCCATATAGCCAGCATACAGCTTAATTATTTAGAAGGCAAATTTGTTTTGCTGCATGACTTCTCTTTCAAATCAGCAGTACAAGAAGTGTTAACCACTTAGTTGTATGCTTCTAGAAGAACTTTTTGTCACTAGAACATCTGGTTGTAGTCAGTAGCCTTGAGGATCAACTTCCTCTTAATGATTTCTGATTTGACATTTCCATTTACATCCAGTTGGCAAAGCATGCAATGGGACATTTCCTTTCCTCTCTTAGTGTAAAGCTACTGTAATTGTATTTGGCTGCCCTAGTTCTCTATATTGTTAGAAATCTAACATAAAACAGAGATCAAACACACAAACGTGCCTCTACTTGGTTACCTGTGTTCTCACTCTCCTCTGAAGTATTGCATTGTTGCATCCAGTGCTAGTAGGTTACCAGACTTTTTCTGGAATGCCTCCTGTGATGTGGAACGCATCCACAATTTCATCTGGTTTCGTATCCTACTTTTAAAAATCATAAGGACCTTTTCTCTGAGGATTTTTGTAGAAAGCAACTATTTAGTTCTACAAGTGCAGAGTTCTTTAGCTGCATCTCAGTTTATAAAGTTGCATCCAGTGTTCTTTTTTAATAAACTTTCAAGTGTTTTGTCAGGGAAGGTGCACAAATTTTGTGTATGTTCCGTAGAAGAAATATAACTGGATACTGGAATAGCCTCAGAAATAAAAATTCAGGGATGTTTCTGTACTTCCTCACATGTTCCTGAAGTTTTTCTGGAAAAAAAAAAAAAAAATTTTTTTTTTTTTTTTTAAACCAGCCAAAACCAAATTCGATACTTGACAAGGTGATGAAATTGGCCATTTAGCATAGAAATAGTTTTATTATGTGCAAATCACTGTGTTTTCATTAGGGATATTCTTCAATATATTACTGATGTTACTAGCCTATAGATCCTTTCTTCCTTTTCTGTTATAGGTGATGCTTCTACCTAAATCTGACCTTCTGCATGCCAATTAAATGAGTTCCTCTACCTGAATGGGTAACTTCTAAAATATTTTAGAATCTCCCTTTTTTCCCTTAGCTGAGGGAAGAGCAGGGGCTTTCCAGCCAAATAGTATCCTTTATCCACAGGAGAAGAAAAAAAAACCAACACTTTAAACAAAAACAAAAATCTTAATTGAGAATAAAGAATCTTACTGGGCAGCACATAGAATCAGCTGTAAAATCATCAGGGTAATTTCTTGCATGGCCCAGTTACATACAGGAAGTGCTTAGTCAATAGTGTATTGGATTGATCTCTCTGATCTTCAGCTAATACAGGATGTAGGTGTTTTAAGTAATTTCATATTGAAGTGGAACACTTAAATGAAGTCCTGTGATTTGTGGGGGGAGGGGGAAACTACATGGAAAAAAGTTCTATTTGGCAAGTGTACATACTAAGGAGTTTCTTGCCTGTATTTTGGGGATTTTAGGTTGAGGGTTTTTTTTGTGTGAAGTGTGTAAAAGCTCCACATACCATCCAGTTGCAAGTGAGTGCTCTATTAATTGAAGATTGTGAGAGGCTGTTCACACAAAACTGTATTGAAAACTTAGCCAGTTGTTCAAGTTGATGTTATCTGAGCTTAATTAGGGAAATGCAATGAGCATGTGATGCAGTCTCAGCACTGTACAGCTGAAGGGGTCCTTGTAATGATTTAAAATTTGTGTAAGTTCTTTTTGGAGTGGGTATTAGTAAAACAAAATTGTTCATGAAAATTTCCTTATTTGTTTATGCAGGTTGATTTATGAAACTTCTAGAGCTAGTGTGCATTAAGAGATGCCCAAAACCAGTTGTTAGTAGTTTTCACTGTGGTCTTGGCATTGCATTTTGTACTACATTTCAGTGAATTCTGAATAAGACTTTTAAAGCAGAAGCTGCTTTAAGTGAAGAACTTCCAACTGAAGAAAACTTCTGTTTGCATGAAGTCTGCACTGTTTGCTGTTAATTCAGATATTCTGAGAGCATGGCTAGTTCCAGGTGTGTATTCTCTATGAAACATCTTTTAATCATAGTGTTTTAACCATTTTCCTTATTGAGACCAGGATGTGAATTCCTGATGTCTGTTGCATTTGCACTCAAATACTTGATTTCGGAGTGTGTTAAGCCTTGATCTATTTTTGACAAAAAAAAAAAGAAAAGTAGCATTTTTATCTAATTTCCATTTAATGATAAGTATATTCATGCAAGGAAAGACATATAATCATGGCTTGATGCAGCAATTTGAAGCCAAGAAAACAGCAGGATGGCACTAGTAAATCTGAAATGAAGATGCATGTCTCTTCAGAAATGCATTCTGGTTTTTTAAGCCTCTTCGTACCAAGTTGGTTCTCTCCTTTTGCCAGAATTACAGAGGTGAAGCAAGTACCGGAACTTTTGCCCTTTGTTTTTTAAAAATGGACATGGGCTTTTGCCCAGAGTGTCTTTGTCCTGTCACTTCATTTTCAGGGTGTGGGGGAGAGAGGGGAGTGGTGGTGATGGTCTCAGTTAAATGAGAAATATGGAATGAGTATTTTTAATTAATGTCAGATTTAAGATATTATTTTTAAATTTTCTGTATTAATATATTGAGATCTAATGAATGGAAATTAGAGGCCTATATTGCAAATATTGAACAGTGCTTATGTGTTTCTAACAAAACCATTATATATGTGAAATTTGAAATGTGTAAAGGTGAAAATTGGAAGATCATTCTTGTTTTGATCAGTTTAGAAATTGAAATTCTTAATATCCAATACCAATATCCAATACCAAAACCCTACAGAAGGGCTAATGAAAAGAAAATGTAATGTATTTTGATGAACAGCCTGTGTAATACAATCAATGGGTGTGACATTTTTGTTCTGTATTATATGTAAGTAAACGATAAAGATTAGAAATCTTATTTTCTTAACAGAAATTGATATTTGGTTGGGGTTAATGTTTAATGTATTTTATGCCTTCAGATAAGAAAAAAGAATGGTTGGGGTGGGCTGCTTTGGGAGAATAGCATAATGGTAAAAAGGGCTTGACCCACTTAATTCCCTACTTCCACCCTAAAAAGTGACTCTCGGGATGTCTTGGTTTTGGCTCAGATGCCAAAAGCTTCTAATTTCTCAGATTGGTAATTTAAGTCATAAAATACCAATTTTTCATCTATTTTCGTGGCTGAAGGTGATATTTGCCTATACATGAATAATATACAAGAAGACTGTTTCATCAGCAGGGGGAGCTACTGTAGTATTCATCTACCCGTCGCATTCCAGAACTCTGGTTTAAGAAACTATTTAAGCATTAAAAAGACAATTAACTTAGCTGGTTTATTATCCTTAATTCTTGGAGTTAACCAGGACTAAATATGGACCTTCCTTTATGGAGCTGAACTTTTAAATGTCTCAAACAATTAAAAATCTTTTGGGGATGATAGGCATTTACCTAAATACTTAATTGAAAAGCAGAAAAACTCTTTTCCTGCCATTGGCTTTTCCGAGTTTTCTGGATTACCTACAGCTGAATTCTGTTTGCTGATACAATCAATGCTTCTGCAGAGCTGTAGCAAGAAGCAGATTTTTTTACACCAAAGCAAGGGGATATTTGCTGTGCCATATCTAAGATACGCAAAAATGCAGTATGATGTTACTGACCATGCAGGTACCAAACAGATGAATCTTGAGGTTTAGACCAGAGTTTCTGTGAAAAAATTATAAGCATAGGCATAAAGATATCTTGCCAACTGTAAATCACAATGTGGAGGAAAGCGAGTGTGCACAAAGCAAATGGCAATTTAGCTAAGGACTTGGGATCATGCAAAGCAGGGAGGATTCCTTTCTGAGCCATCTTCACCTTCAGAAATCCACTGGAAAGAGCCATGGGTTTACTTGCTGTATCCTAATGTCTAAAACAAAAACTTGTAAAGAGCAAGCATGATGTAATCAAAACAGTTATTTCATGGAAGCGCGAGTGTGCCGTCTTCTGAATGTTCCAAGACCAGGAAGAACTGTTAAAATCAAAGAAGAATAGGCCTGTGGCTTTTTTTTAGTAGACAAATAAATTGTGGTAAGAAACTTGCTTGCTTAACCGCTTTGAAAAACAGTTCTACTCTAAAAAGGGTTTATAAAAACCTACTGAAATTGTCACTTATGCAACAATTTGTGCTTGATGCCAAATGGACAAGTATTGTGTCTTCTGTTGAATATGGAATTGTCTGTGTTCTATCTTACTTGGCAAGGAAGTTTAGAGAAGAGGAGACTGAGGGGTGACCTTATTAGTGTATATAAATATATAAAGGGGGAGTGTCACGAGGATGGAGCCAGGCTCTACTCAGTGGCAAACAATGATAGGACAAGGGGTAATGGGTACAAACTGGAACACAAGAGGTTCCACTT